AGTTTGTTGACTGAGTGACATTAGTATATTAATAGTCATAACACCCTGTGCACATGCAACATGCAGATGACTTGTAAACCAGTCACGGTCTAGATTGAGAATATACCAGTCACAAGCTATATTGAATTTGTTATCTTATAGTCCAGAAAAGAAGCAAACATTTTTATTGCGATAAAAGTTGTAAATGCATGTTGTGTTACTTTATTCGTATCGAGAGTCCAATCAAGCAGAAGAAATTACCAAAATGGCGGTTTATTACGTCGTGTAATCACAACTGAAACCATGTTCATTTGACATGAATTGATAGAAATACTTTTAAATTGACTTCAAATTCACATACATGGTGATTCTTTGTAGTGTTTAACTACAAACAACTCAAGAGAAATTGAATAGAATATCAAAGTCAAACATTAAGCTTTACTAAGTAAAGAGCACGCGAATACGAATGTCCAGCACGATTCCTTCACTGATACATCGGAACACTTCTGAAACTGTTGACACAATTTCTACTTCTGAAACTCAGATACAATTGACAGATGAAATTTTTATCATAATTACGTAAATTTAAACAGTTAAACAAAGTTTATCTTCAAGACTTCATGGGGCGAAATGACATAAATAGTGATATCAATATCAATAGGGGGATGAGATGGTGGGGGCGAGATGGCATAATTATTATGCCAATTCACTTCACGTAATATCTCATTGAAACTCAAGGATGCCAACCCCCGAACTTTTCAAAAATTGAGAACGAAAATAATGACGTCATACCGGAAATGACGTTTCATAACATTATAGATGACGTCATCGCATTTATTAAATTTCGTTATAACTAGTACTTTGACTGGATGTATCTTAACCAATCATATTATAGATTGTATTGTGCAATTGAAAATGGCCGCGGAAGGCGTGCAGTGTTATTGTTATCAGAAGACTGGGATTTTTGTATTTTTTCAGAACTAAAATGATATGCAAGGTAATTTGAGTTTCAATAGATGAAAAGAGATATTTCAAAAAACTGATATATGAATCGTCATTATCCGGGAGATTTAGCGGTAAAATCTTGAGACTGGGAGAAACGGTCGAAAATCTTGAGACTCCCACATTATCCGGGAGAGTTGGCATCCCTGGAAACGTACTCGCATTTGAATGGCGATCAACACTTTTAATAAGAATCAGACTAATCAAAAAACTTTAGCTGATATCTTTTTTTTTTTGATGTCTACATGTAATTATATAGCCCATACCTTGATTTTTGTAAAGAAGCAAAGTTCTTTTTGAAAAGGGGACTAAACTAGAAGTGTAATACAAAAAGATTAGT